ACCGCTCTGTGACCATCTTTTTAAAGTGTCTGTGGAAATAACGTTTTTAAGCAAGCAGGCATTCCCCTGAGTACTCTCCATCCAAGACCCTGGGCTGCAACATTGCGAAAGAATGTGAAAGGGAACTTGACAAACAGCAACGAGACAAACTTGACCGTTTACTCCCCAGATCTTTTGCTCAGAGTCAACAAGACTGAAGAGCAGAGCTTGGCTACCAGGCTCGTTTGATTGAAAAAATCTTAGAAACAGACTTGAAAAGAAGTTACCTTTTTTTAACCTGAATGTTTTAAGGCACTGAGTAGTGTAATGGGAGAGATGGGAACTGGGGGCAAGTGAACCTTCTTAATTTTCCCGAAGAAAAAGTGCCTAGGCGTTAGGCACTCCCCCAGCCAAACACTGCCTTAATTTTCCCTAGGAGCCCTCCCGGTAGCCTAATCACTAGGCACTCTCCCAGCTGGGTCTGTGTGCTGTGCAGTTTGTGTACATTTGAGGAGGAAAGGGAACTCAAAACTTTACTTGTCACCTCCAGTGCTGGGAAGCCGTGCTATTTTATTATTCCGCTGTCATGATGCAAATGACTGTATTTGCTTTACAGGTCTGTGCTGCAAACGGCCTTCGTCCTGTTGCTGCTCATCAGTGCCACGTGGCTGCTGGGGCTGATGGCGGTGAACAGTGATGTCATGACATTTCACTATCTCTTTGCCATTTTCAGCTGCCTACAGGTAAGTTAGACAGCATTTTCCCCCGACCACTGCAGATCTGCCACACGCAGACGGCCAAGATGCCTGCTTCTTGTCAAAGGCAGCCCTCAGCGAATGCAGCCCTGAGCCCAAACCTCCTGCCTGCTAGAACAGGGCTAACGTAAGAAGAGCAGAGATGTTAAGTGCGATTTTCACTCTCTTTTCTCAAAGAGGGGGTTCTTTTCACCAAAACAAGAATTTTCCTCATAACCCTGAGTAAATGGCTCTCTCTCGTTTTAGTCATTCCAAGATAGATGCTTGAACGCTACGACCTGTGACAGATAAATAACAGTAGGCAATTATACCTCTACCTTTCCGGAGGCAGAGTCTTTGCTACTGTCTTCTGCAGGCTGAGTGTTAACAGTTGTTTTGTTGCTACCACAAATAAGAGACTGTGTTTCATTTCACCCAGAGTGGAGAGTTCAGGGGTTTCACAAATTAATTAACTGTTTAAGGAAATGAGTCAAACATGATTTTCAAATAGAAGTGTTTGCTCTAGGAAATCTTGCTGGATTGACTATCCTAGCCTGTAGGCTTGCTAATTAATGATGCAGAATATAGCTACTTGTAGGAGACCTGGCAAGGAAGTAATTGTGAAGCTTGATGTTGGTCACTATTTAAATGTGACCAAGAATGGCAGCAACCATCACGGCAGGTGCCTGTAGCATTAAAATAATAGCTACTAGCAGGACACTCCTGTCAGTCACAGCAGAGCAAGCACAAATTGCAGCAAAAGAGAAAAAGAAGTCCTCTTGCTTTCCTCCAGAGATGGTTCCTCAGCATGACTTGAAAGCACATCAAATAGGCCAACCTGGAGCAAGGGTATTTTGCTGCTGCAGCTGGTCTGCTGTGAAATAAATGCATCCACTCAGTCCGTAAATCCAGGCTTCCACAAGCCTAGAATAAAGTTAAATTAAACATAAACGTGACGAGAGGGAGGAAAGTCAGCAGCTGGAATTCTCCAAACTTATCCAGGGAGGCACGGTGGTATGTGGCGGTTCACGTCATTGCCTTCTTTGAACTTGTATTTTTAAAGAGACATTTATGTGAATTTTCTAATGAATAATCCTAGAGAGTTAATGCCAGCTAAGATTGCATTTGATTAAATGTTTGGAAAGTGAGCCTGAAGTTTAAAGTTACTCTAAAAGTCAATTGCTTTGGCTGAAGTCATGAAATGCAGGCATCTTGTGATGGTGGTACAGCTGCAACTTCATAAGTGACTGGCTTCTGTATGCTATATCGGCAGCCAAAATTGATAACAATTTGGCAGCTGCATGAATTCCCTCAGAGCAAATACATCTGAATGCATATACGTGCATCCCACACACACACCCCACCAAGAAAACTACGAATGTTTGTTCCTGACGGGCCAGTAACTGCCCAGCTGGGTGGATTTCAGTGTTCCCACCAGGAGATTTTGCTGGATCGAGGAACATATGGGGCAAAAGCTGGGACCTCTCTCCCCCTAAAGTCTCCCCACTGATCATGTCTCACAAAGCTTTCCAGACTTCACTCAGCAATAATATTAGGAATACCTACCACAGAAGTTCCTCATTTCTAGAGGTTTTCACTAAAGGTTGAGATTTTTTTGATGTGCTCCTTGTGATTTTGTTTAAACATCAGTGTATCAACTCTAATACAATTACAACCCTGAAACTCCCTGAAATATCTTCCAGGGGGGCACTGAAGTCCCCTTTGCGTATTTTGAGAAGAACGTTCCTTCCCCAACTACTAGGGAGGCCGACATCTACTCTGAGCTCTGCTATTTAAATCCTGGAAGGAGGCAGCATTGTATATATTTTCCAAGGCCCTTTGTGCGCATTTAAAACTTGGAAATAAATTACGAAGAAGTGGTGGGAGATGAATCAGTGCCAGTTCAGTCAGAGGCAGAAAATAGTTATTGCTATTGTGGTCGCAATTGCTGTTGATATCGTGGACTGTGGACGGGAATTCAGAGGTTGTTTCAGAAAGGCTGTTCTCTAAGATTTGTTTGTCTTCCCAGTTTGGTAGTAGTGAATAATTTAGATTTATTCTTTCTCTCTCTAAAATGATCCAGGGGCTGTTCATTTTCTTCTTCCACTGTGTATTTAACAAAGAAGTCAGGAAGCACTTGAAGAATACTTTAACTGGAAAGAAACCTCTTCCAGATGATTCTACTGCAACAAGAGCTACATTATTAACTGTAAGAAAAAAAATGGGGAAAAGACATAATCTTGCATTAGAAGAAAGTTATCTGAAATACATTTATAGGTGGCTTGTCCATAATTAAATGAATTTTCTGATTGATTACAGTGACTTGTACAAAGGTACTAATGGTCTCTCTCAAAAGTTTTGATTACTGTCTTAATTAAAACTTTTGAGAAGAAGAAATCATTTTTCCCTCAGCATCAAAAACCACTTGGTTCATTCAAGACTTTAAATACATTTGTGAGTAATGTGGACTTTTAGTCGTTGTTTTTTGTTCTTGCAAATTGCAAAGAAATGCATGTGCGGTGCTCTAAACTCCAGAGTTACTTGCAATTTTCTGATTACTTTATACTCATGTTGACATATATAATGGGCAGTTTGAAACTTGTAGGCAGAAATAGCTGGTTACCCCTCTAGATATATTGCTGTCCATGTGACTACATTTACACTGGTAAACTAAAGAGGACCAAATCATAGACTTGAATCCTGGCCCACAGTCATCCATAGTATTTAACTGTTAGTGTCCGCCCTGGTACCTGGTTTTAGCTGTGCCAACTAGCAGTCTCCCTGTCTGTGTAAAGGCATGACTGGGGGAAGGGAAGGAACGGCAAGGGCCAAGGACTGTTCACAAATAGGCAGCATGGATAAAGCCACCCTTTTTGGGAGGAAAGAGAGTTCAGCCATACAGACTTGAGCTTTGCCATCCATTGCCTTTTACTGGCAGGGCAGAGACTAGGCCCTTGCCCATTAACAAAGCAGACATGGTCTAAATCTGTTTTTTAATAGAGAAAAGTGTGTGCGTGTGTGTATATGTGTAGAATATTGCATGCATGGATATGTCCATAACTACTTAAGTGCATAAGCTTACAAAAAACCCCATCCCTAAATATCATTTTTTTACATATAGGGTCTCAGACATCCCCTAGCTAGGGCTGATATAAAGATTTGTTTTAAGTTATTATATAGCAAGTTTCCTATTCTTAAACATACCAAAGAATGACTGTTCATCATACTTTACCCTGCAGTCCTGGGACGTAGGTTTTATCCAATGGGATATCTGCTGTCTGTCCAAATCAAACTACCCTGCCGAACGGAGAGGGCTTTGTCTGGGCAGATCAGAAATCCAACTGCATGTCATATTGCTTAAAACAGTGCCTCTTACCATTCACTATTGGTCATTTTCTCCCTCAGCGATCTCTGAACTGTAACAACACATATATAGAGGAGCCAAATATGTATCGCACGACTCTTGGAGAATCCACTGTCTCCCTAGAAAGCACCGTCAGGTCAGCCAAGAGCCACAATAGCTACCTTGCTTATATTCTCAGGTAATCAGGTGGCAGGTGCATGGCTTTCAGGTGCTTGCCTTTCCCTTTTCATTGCCCCTGTCGGGGGGGGGGAAAAATTGCAAAACAAATGTTTGGGTTCAAATGCTACTTGTTTAATGTCTTAACAGTTCTGTTTTGTGTCACTGGCATTTTCTGTGGTGCGTTTTCTTTTGCATGCATCTTTGGTGCATGCAACTATGACAGCTTTGCATCCCTGCATCACTGCGCTATTCAAACAGCGCAGTGGTTAACGTAACTATTATGTTAGCCATTTGGGCCACGCTGCTTGCCTGTTAAAATGTTACATTCAGCCGCGTCTCAAGGAGTGGAATTACATATCACTAACTTTAGGCTGTTTCGTGGGATCAAAAGTAGACAGCTGCAAGAGGATAAGCTGTGTCTTGCTGTAAAAGTGACTACACTGACAATGAAGTAAGCACAGGTTGGCTAGCTCACACTGTAGCTGTATGCATTTGACCAGATGAATCCCGTCTGTATGTCTGCCTTGTTAAGACTAGTAAACTGACCAAAAAAGTCCTTGCTTTTATTTCCTAAGGGATGAGGCTGCTCATAAACTCAGTGGATCCTCAAGTCAAGCAAGGGCTGGTCAGACTGAAGCAGATTCCTCCATTTTTCATAGGAATCCATCAAAATCCAATGGTAAGAATTTTTTTTTTAATGCCCTGACCCACTTGTGCACCTTTTCCTTCTCAGCACTTTTTTTCAAAGGCTTCTGTATAGTAGGAATAGCTACTCTGTCTTGCTGTGCCTCGTTCTCAATTTAAATAACGCTTTTGGCATAACAAGATGCACAGAGGTTGCCTTGCTAGGGAATTCCAGAGGGAAAATATGAAGTATGTGTTTCTTGTGATAGTTCAGTTTTAATTTGACAGCTGTCACAGCTGTTGACAGTTTCTGGCGTCTGTGTTCTTTCTCACAAATTATGCTGTTTCTCTTGATTTTTAATTGGAGATCTTTTAATGTTTGAAACCTTGAGGCAATATCTTCTTTTACTGCTATGTATTTTGTACAAGAAAATGAGAAGTGTCTCTTGGCTGATTTCCTTTCATTTGGGGTCTTGATGTTAAATTTTGTTGCCTTGTAGTTGCCTTGTTTTTAAGAGTGCATTTACAGTTTTTTGTTATCTGTAGGAACGTTGGTTTGCATGTGTGTTGTGTTGATTGAGATCCTGTGGAGTTACTGTTCTGCGTATTCAGTTGTGAAAAATAAAGTCTCTTTTCTGCTCTGGAGCCCCAGGTAGATTAAAGGTCCTGTCTATTAGCTAAGCAGCGCAGCTACGCTTCCCAAAATCACTTAGGTGGATGCTACAGTCCTTGTGAGCTAATCTTATGTACCCTTACAGGCGTAAGTGCTCACATCTGACACGTCCTGAACCAGAGGCCTGCCTTTTCCTTTTCTTTATGCACTCATCAAATAGATTTGTCTGACTCCTTTCCACACTCTCATCTCAGTATTTCCCCTTTCCGCATTTGCAGAGCATGATTCAGACTCCGACAGCGAACTGTCACTCGATGAACACAGCAGCTCTTATGCCTCCTCCCATTCATCGGACAGCGAGGAAGACGGGATTGAGCCAGAGAAAAAGTGGAACACAACCACTTCCAAAAATAATGAACGTGGTCCTCTCCACAGCACTCCCAAAGGTACTCCTGCTGCAAGGGGAGAGCACTGGATTTATTCCCTTCTGTAAAATAACTTTAGAGGTGATGGAACAAATTTACCAGACTAGCATACAACAACGGCAGCTTTGCATCCCTGCTGCCGTACCTAGCTATTGCGAAGAGATCCTTGTTCTCTCCAGCTTAGAGGGTCTTCCTTGCTACCAAGGGCTTGTTCCCAGGGTGCATGAGTGCAGAAACGAAGGATGCTTAAGCAAATCTGCAACAGCTACTTACCGTGCTGAGGCAGGCAGCAGTCAGTGTGCTTTGCCGAGAGGTTCCCCCAGCCCTTGGAAATGGCGCTGCTCAGCCAGCACAATCACATGAGAAGGGTGAGGAAGAGGAGGAGGGAGCAGGATAGTTTGAGGGCAGGAGGAAGAAACATCTGCCTCTCTTCATATGCAATACAGGCATGGAGGCTTAGTGGAGTCAGGGGAGGTCATGGACCTATGGGGTTTGAGCTCATGGGCAACCAGTATCAACACTGGGCAGCAGGGTACAGGCTCTTCTAGGTGCAGTTCAGCTTATCCTGAAGGTAGGTCAGCTTAGCAAAATTCACATGTCTGAAGATCGGAGACATGAATCCACCTTCCCTCCCTGAGAGACTAATCTAGTCAGTGTGTTCGGCTCTTGAGGGCTCCTGGTGGCCACGTCCTCTTTTTACCTTCTGTAATTTCGATGTGAGAGGCAGTTCAAGCTTCAGCCAACCTGGCATTGTTCCCACCCCGATTTCCACTGGCTTGCGTGCGATCAGCCGGAGCTTTAAATGGTTTCGAGAGGTCTATTCTTTACTAGAGCTGTTGGGGGCTCTGGGCAAATGAAAAGTGATGGTTCTGCCAGCAAGCCTTCAAACCCCCAACTTGCTGCGGCAGGCATTACTATTTCAATATTTCTGCCACCTTGGGAACCTTCGGTTCAGGTTGGTATGTCTGACACGGCACCACTGTTCTTGGCCCCAGTGGTTTCTGGTAGCCGTGTGCTGGCACAGCAGCGTCCAGGCTGTGCACTGGTGCTCTGCGCAAATACGGTGCGAGGTGCCTCCGTTCTCTCGGGCTCCGTCAGCCCTCAGAAGCACTGTCCCCAGGGAGCCTGTGAGATCACCAGCCCTGGACAACTGTGAGAGCAGGTTCATCTCACACAGCTCAGTAATGCCACCAGCGAACCTGCTTCGAGCAGGGGCCGTTCACCCTGCCATCCTGCCAGCCATGTTTTGTGCCCAGCATCGCACCCTCAGAGCAGTGCATCCCATTCGCAGTCCCTGCCCTCACACCCAGTTTCACCCACTCAAATTCCTACAGCAAGGATCGTCTAAAGCGTTGCTCTGGTTTGGCACACACCTCTTCCCCAGCTGCAAGGGATCAGACTAGCTGGGCAGTAGCTGAGGAAACCTATCAAACAGTAGTTTTCGAGCTAGTGTTTTTTTGCATTGCAGTTGATACCCTTCTCAATCATGTGAAACCCTATTGGCCCACAGAGTGCATAACAACCAGCGATGGGGAAGACCCTGGTGGGAAACAGAAACTCAAAGTGGAGACCAAGGTCAACGTAGAGCTTCACAGGGAAAACCAAGTGAACCACAGCAGCGAAGCACCTCAGGACAAAGAGAACGAAGGGCAACAGAAGGAGAACAGGCTTCTGTCCCACCAGAATAACCAGCAGCCAGAGCAGAGGAAAGGTAACGCGGCCAGCCCATCGCACTCGGGGAAAAATACATGAATCGCGGGCAGAAAGAGGCCAGCTGCAAGTTGTACGGTGGTTGCGCTGGGAGTTTTTCCCTAGCATCACAGCCTGTACATGTACAGAGATGCTTCAGCTCTCAGGACCCACTGGAGTTGGATTATATAGCGCACTGGAGACCCAGCTCTGCACTGGGCTCCCCTGGCAGCATAGGCATCATCTCAGTGAGTCCAGCTAAGGGATGTGTGGCTAAAAGCAGAATAGGAGGCAATTTGCTATGTTCCCCTGAGCCTCATTGCTTCTCAGCCAACTCAGAGCCAAACTGGGAGGCTGAGGATTTTAAATAAGTATATAGTAGCTCTGTCAGGGAAGAGCGCTCTCCAAATGGACTCCTACCTGTACCACCACATAAGCCCATGGGAAGCTAGTAGGTACTGGGGCTGGCAAGGTCCAATCTTTTTGTTTTAAAATGAGGTGACTAACTAAAAGTCTGATTAAAAAACATAAAATATCACTTTTTGGATGTATTTAGTCTGATAAATGAAATTACCGTTACATTTCAAAATTCTCATTATTCCTCCCTTTTCTGTAACAGGCATCTTGAAAAATAAAGTCACATACCCTCCCCCACTGATGGATAAGAATATGAAGAATCGACTGCGGGAAAAGCTATCAGATTACAATCAGACAACGATATCCTCCAGGACTGCTTCCTTGGGGACAAATGATGGGATCCGCTCTCCCTCGGACTCAGGGGTAACAGTAAAAAATCCTCGGAGGGAGCAGTCTCGAGATCAGCTCAATGGCATGGCCATGAACGTCCACGTGGGAACAGGACACGCTGAGACCTCAGACTCAGAGTAAGTGCCGCATAGGAATACCCTGACAGACCTCCCATAGTTCTGGCTTCTCCCTCTGCTTTCCAGCCCCAGACTCCCACATGTGCAAGGATTTCACTTGGTGACTGGATTAGCGTCCTTCACCAGTGACTGTACTGATTGCTTTTCCATACAGTGTTTCCAGTATTGCACAGATTAGAAGGCCAAAATCAAGTATCACACGCACAGTGCCTTGATACGCACCCGTCACTGGTCAGCCTGGCATGCTCTGAATTAGCGAACCAAGCGCTATTGGTATGCCATGGATAAGCGCAACACGTGCTCTTTTGTGTTTGACATAAATTCCCAGCATTTCTGTCCGCATGCATGGCCAAGACCCCCTCCAGCAACAACGCAGCCGGGGCTCTGCCCTGTTCCCTTTGCGTGGTACCTGCAGGGCTTGGCCTGGTGACACCAGGAACAGCGATCTGGCCTCGAGCTAAGGGGGCAGCTTGAGGAGCAGCTCCCACAGCGACCCTGACCACCCTCTCTAGCCCTCCCTGCTAAGGTCCTGGCTGCATTTCTCCACTCCCATTTGCACCCATTCCCTGCCTACCCAAGGCCCCACCAAGTCAAGGAATTTGCCATCACCTTCCCCTGCCCATCTTGGCCACCCGCGTCGAGCTTTTTCCACCCTCTCCTGCTGCCAGGCACCCAGGACCTCGTGGCAGTGCCCGCCGGCACTTGAGGAGCCCTGCTCCAGGTCCCTCTCTGGTCCTTGCTCTTAGCTCCCAACCCATTGACCTTCACCTCTTTGGACCCTGGGAACATTTGTTTTTCCCTAGGTCTCTTTCTCACCTTTTGCAGCAAGGAGAGTATTTAGGGCTGTTCGGGTCCCATCACCAATGGGGTACCAGTAGTTATAGCATGGCCAATGGCAGTTGCCCGAGAAGGAGGAGAAGAACAGGGCAAACATATAGCAGCGCATCTTGATACTCGTCCAGTCTCTGATTTTTCCTAGCTGGGAGAACTTACAGGATCCTCTGAAGAAGCTGGGTGTAGTGTGGGGCAAAGGAGCTGGCCAGGGGGGGCATGGGGTAGGCGTTCAGCTGGGCAGAAGAAAAACGTTGCCGGGGCAGGAGATGCAAAAGCCACTGAGAAAAGCACCATGTCAAGCTCTTGACCCTAAAATTGCCAGGTGTATGATTCCCACCTGCAGCATGGTGATCGGTATGCATATTTGCCATTATAAACTAATTTAAACGTTAACAAAAAGCTGAGCATGCTTTCAGGCAAAGGATATTCTCAGAAACCTCATTACTCTTAATGATTCTCACATGCCAAATGAGGACAACAACAACCTCAAAAGTCTTTATATAAAATCTGCCTTAATATTTTATGCATATAGCCTTCCCTTGATTAACACAAATAATGGTCTCATTCTTTCTCCAACCCAACAGAAAATTTCTCACCTGAATCTTAACTCTGACATTGTCCCACCATGTTTTAGGCACCCCTGTTGTCCATGGGTGCACAGGCCATTCCCAGCTCCCTGTAAAAGTCCATCTTTAGGTTGCTGGAAATTGGCTGTTGAAATATTTCCTGGTTAGCGAGAAAACATAGATGTCTTTAACAAGGAATAGCTACTTGCTGCTACCAGGTAATATATTCATTACTAGAGAAGAACTAGCCACCTTGCTGTACTAAATAATTGCTTTATTCTCTGCACCTTTCATGTATAGCCAAACTTTGCTGTTCAACAGCAGAATGCATGAGTCTGTCTGAAATCCCAGGTTTCTAACAGCTTGTACGACTTGTGTGTGAGCCTCACATCTTCACCTAAGTGCTAGCCAGTTACAAACACACCGTAGACTTTCCTCTAAAGCGTGCATCTCCTTTGTGTTACCTGTGAGTACTTTTCCCAGCTGATCTTGCCCACAAGGGCAGTATCTCCCTTGCAAGCATTTGATTAGCAAGGCATGCTAACTTCACAGCGCATGAGACCTTACTAAAAAGCATTAGGTAGTTTTGGACGGAGTTGTTTGCCTGTGCCTGTTTAACCCTGAGCCTGCATGATTACTTCTTCTCATGAACAGAGGCAGTAATGAAACTTCAATTTGAACCATCAGGAAACTGTGATCGCTATTGTGTTCTGGACTACTTGCTGTGGTGTCACTTGCCGGGTACCTCGGATTTCGTAGGAGTTGCTGCGTAGTGAGGAGGACGAGGGTGGGATTGATTCCTGCGTGAATTCATGTTATGGCAGACTCCTGACTGCTGGCAACGGAGACACCATGCCCGGATGCGCATGGGATAAAGCTACTCCGTGATGCACTCAGCGGGATGCACACCTGTGCCAAAAAGTGTGGAAATGGTGACAGGGCTGCACTGTGAGGGACAAATAGCAGTTTGCGGTGCAGACAAGAACAATGCTGCAGGGGTTGCTTATCTACTAGGGAGAAACATGGAAAAACACATTATCACAGTGGACCTACGTTAAGTCAATTCGTCAGCCTTAAGACAAGCACCAGGGGATGTCTCTTGTCTCTTGTGAAGTCTTGTCCCACTACAGTGTGAACCATTCACTTTGCTGGACTCCAGGGAGAAACATCCCAACAAGTGTCCTTTAGTTTCTATGCCAGCATCTCTATCCACCCCTTTATGGACACGTCGTCTTAAAAAAAAGTCCTTTATATATATATAAAAAGTGTAGATACTTTTATATATTTTGTATGGTGATGCTAAAGAAAAAGTTCCTTTGTATATTTTACATTTATACTGATCTTCTTAACTTGATAATAGGAAAACGATTAAAAGAGCTTTTGATATTTTTTATATGAACATTGCACAATTTTACTTGAATTTGGCATTTGATAAAGTAACTGAAGTTTGCATGGAAACCACCTTAAGATGCAATGCAGTTTTCAAAGTAATACAGTAAAGGTTACATCTAAATCCATGAATATAATTTAAAAGTTTTGTTGCCAGATTTGGAAACACTTTAAGGCCACAGTATGTTTTTTCGTAACCTCTTCTCAAACCAACGAAAAATATTTTATTTTGTTTCTTCATTTCATGGTGTTTTGGCCTTTTCTCTCAAGTGCACTGAAATGTTCAGAAACAGAACTTCAGAACTAAAAATAAGTCATATAGTGTAAGATTTCAACACAATCCTTATATGGATGAAGTCAAATCAATTTTTCCCTTACCAAAAACAACAGAACAAGCGGTGTAATTGTATAGTAGGTTTCTCTGACTTTGCTGATCTGGCTAAGCAGCAAACCGGCCAGTGGTGTGTCCCAAGAAGAGCCCCCCGCCCGATGGACAAGCTCTGTGTGAGGCTCAGTGTTACTTTTTCACCGGTTTACTTTTAAGTTCTTTCCTACTGGAGTCAGCATATCGTTAATCAAAGCTGAAATCTTTGAGATGCTGGGGTTTCAAGTCCCAGCTCTTTGGCAAAGCTCTGCCCATCCTGGTGTTTCAGAAGCACATAAAAGGGTTGCAGTCTCATGGTTCCCACCAAATATGCTGGCTTCACAAGCATAGGAAAATTAAGCCTGTCATTCCTACCAACTTCACCTTTCTGCAGCGTTTACAAGAAAAAGAAAAACAGATGTGAAAAACATTTGTCTCCACAGTGAATGTGTGGGGCAGAGCTTCTGCTAGCGGTTCCCTTCGGTGTGAATATATGGCTCAAAGCGAGCCCTCAGGGCACTGTTCGTGCCCATGGTACAGCGGTTATCTGGCTTTCTGCAGCTAAGGGTTTCCTGGGCTAGGCATTCCTCATACCATCCATTTTGGAAAAAACATTAGCTTTTCTTTGTATGAATGTGTATGTGAAAGGGAACAAACAGAAAATTAGGCTCAATAAAATGCAGGAATTTAGCCAAAAAAAAATGAAATAAAGTGTACAGTAACCTTGGCTTTGTTATATTCCTGTGCATTTTTAAATGTACTTCGGAGGCCTTTGGAAGGAGCGGGAGGAGGAAGGATAGTGTTCCTTTAAAAATTATGCAACATACTGTGTGAAATTTTCTGGTTGAAAAAAGTTTTGAATGTTTAAGTGTCTGACACTTGGCTGTGTGCTCAGGCATTGTGTATAACCCATGGGAGTTGCTTTCACATCTGTGTATGTATATTTTGTCCCAGTGAGATGTAGGTAGTTCTATTTTGATCAGAATTGTTGCAGTAAATGAGGGTCAGTTGTATTAATGACAAAAAAATTAAAACCTATTTTTATGACTTTTTAAAAGCTTTATGGCAGATTAGACACTGGAGGTTTTTTTTTTTTTAACAAATGTATATTTATTAATGTGCAGAACACTGGAATTGCAGCACAGATGAAAGGAGAATTTACAATAAATTAAGATTTTTGAATTTGTATCCCTGCTCTGGCAGTTTATTTCCAGCGGAGTGCTAGCACTGAGATTGCGGAGGGCCCAGAGCACCTTTCCCAGGGTTCAGGACACTGCCAGCAGGGGCGATGTGCTAGATCACAAAAAAAGGAAGTGGATAAGACACTTGTACACACACTTGTACACACACCCACAGACACAGACACAGACACAGACACAGACACAGACACACACACACACACACACACACACACACACACACACACACACACACCCATGGCCATGGCCACGGACACACATGGACAAACGCACACTTCCTCCAACCACCTGCCTGTTGCACACACAGTGCGTGACCGCTGGCTGGGAGACTACTGAGCTCTTAGGCAATTGTGGAGGGCGTTTTGATGGCGTGACGAAGCCCATCGCAGGTGCTGCGCTGGGAGCTCGCCTGCCCTGCTGGCCCCCTCAGCTCAGTAGCGGTGAAACCGCTCTGGCTCGTCACCCTTGCAGCAAGGCTGGCCACCTCGATGGAGCTGGCGAGACTTTGGGTGATGCCCTTTGGCCAACTACAGCAACGTGGATGAAGACACAAACTGGTTGCTGACTGCTGTTGAAACTCTGCATTGCGTTTTTGTCCAAACCCACAGCATTTCTCACCTGCGGGAAATTGTCTGTGGAATAAAGTCGCCCCTCCCTCCTCACAGAGTGCTAGAAAAAGCCCTGGGTTTCGAAAACAAGCTTGGGAAGGAACTGAAGCTGGTGAGGCCACGAGCCCAGCTTGTGCACTTCAGACCTGCCAGCACGTGTCTACCCAGCTCCTCATCGGCCGTCGCAGCCCTCTGGCTTCTCTGCTTGAGCTTGCCTCAGGCCATATAGAGCAGGGCCTGTGTCCTGTGCTTCCTGCACCATTGAAAAATGCTGTGGTTCAGACAGTAGCCAAAGAGCCTCAGGTCTGGAAAAGGCCTTGTTTTCCTGTTCTGCAGATGCTTTAATTTTACCATGCGGCCAAGTCAGTTGGGAAGGAGGGGGTAGGTTTGGGGGGAAAGGAAAGGGGGGGATTTTAGCTTCATTAACATCTTTCAAAAAAAAAAAAGCTTTGGAAATTTGAAATTTAATAGCAGTGATCTGAGCTATTTTGAAAAGCATACGAGTTGTGGTGTCTTAGACATTCATTCAAATTTATGCTTTAGAAACCGAGCAGAAGAAGAGGGTATAGGAAGGCATATGCCTGCCATGGGCAGGATGCCACAGAGGCAGGACTGTTAGCAGCACCAGCACTAGCTTTGCCCCATCATCCCTGCCTATGCTGCACAGCAGTCTGGTGGCAGAGGAACACGCAGCTCAATAGCCATGAGGATCCCAACTCCCAGTAGCGAGGCAGTGGCAAGAAGGGCTGCAGCTCCTTAGCACCAAGAGCATGTTCCTGGGACCTCCAAGATACTTAAGCTTCTTCCAGTGCTGGAGAACCCACCAGACCCTATGTCATGTGATATCCAAATACTGTTACAAAACTCTGGCTCTTCTTGTCCTCGCTTGGCTGATCACTAGGGCCATCAGTCCCAGCACCCATGCGGGTGACTCAAACAGCCACGTAAGGCTAGAGAAAAGGCATGGGGGTTTGGTCACCAAAGAGTGATTTTTTTAGCTGCAATGTGAAGAAACTATCCTGCATGAATGAGAAAGTATATTCCTTGTTAATGGAGGATTTTGATGAAACGCTTTGGAGTTGACATCCATTCAAGCCAAACTTTGCAGCCTTTTCCCATGGAGGACATCTACTTTCAAATATACCACAGTATGGCTGACTCTGAGCATGACCAGTGCAAAGGAGCAAATGACCACGGAGGTCTGCAATGAGAAGGGACTTTTCTGATCCTTAAGCCAACTAACACGAGACCATGGTCTTGATCATTCTGTATTTATTAGGATGCTGTGCAAGTCTTTCTCCTTCACGTGTCTTACAAGGCACAGCAGTGACCTGCAAGTGTCCGCCAGCACTTTCTCAATATCTGGCCAGCTTCTCCATAAATTCTTCTAAACGTCAGGAAATAATGGCAGTGCGTGAGGTCAGGGAGAGAGAGCCTGGTTATTAAAATGATGTAGAGGAAAAAAAATCAAAGGGCTCTTCAGTTTGCAAAAATACACTGCCAAAACTCATCACTAAACGAACCCAAACATTTGCCCAAAGGGAAACCTTATTTTCAGTTTATTGTACAAGTTCAGTACTTGGGTCTTGTTCTCATTTAAACAAAGTCCACTTTACTGCAGAAAAGCATAAATACGACCCAGATTCCCACATAGGTGGGGTTGTTGTGGGACAGAGCAGTCCATGATCCTGCCTCCAATAATGGTTAGCAGCAAACGTTTAGGAAAAGAGGATTAGCACAGACACGTTGTACCATGAGCCTCCCCCCTGGCCTCCAGTGAGCCTCAGCTCAGGATCTCCCTAGCAAGACGTGTTGTGTTTATCTCTAATTGTCCATGATGGACTTTTTTCCTCCACTAATTTGTCCCATTGCTTTTTGAACCCATGTGAACTTCTGGTATGCAGTGAGTTGCTTGACTTGGTTCCAAATAGCAAGAAAAGGTTCTTTCTTCGGTTCAGTTTTTTAGCTGGCACCCGCCACTGCCATCAGCTGAGTGTCCTTGCTGGCTGCATTGAGGGATGCAGTGAACCATCATTTCACAGTCACTTTTCCCAGGCCATTTAGGCCAAAGAGGAAGACAGGCCTCACCCTGGACCTCTTCAGTTTTCTCTTTCCACCTGCAAAGCTCAAATCTCTGCAACTGGTCCTTGCACAGAAACTATTTTGTACTTCTAATATGCCTTCCTGCCTTTCTCCAACCCCACGTCTAAGGCATCTGTTTTTGGAGGCGGTGAGAGCTCAAAAAGAGACCAGAGCTTCCTGCAAAATGCAAAATATGGGCCTACCAGCAGCCAAAAAAAAAAGAAAAAAGAAGAAAAACCCTCCCCAGTTGCCCAGTTAAAACATTACTTTCTGCACTGGTATCTCCCTGCACAGTCAGGTCCCATGTGGGAGCCACACTGACCTCTTCAGCAGCGCGTCCACCATGCCACTGCGCTCCACTTTGCCTTCATGCAGGTCACTTTTCCTCCCTAAAAGCAGAAATCTGCACCTGTTTCCTTGTCCATTTCAGCCAGTTGATTTCAGATTTGCTCTCCAGTTTCTCAAACTCATACTGAATTTTAGCTGTGTCCTTCGGGATGCCTGGTGCGCTTTGGTCACACCTGCAGCTTTTACCAGCTACCTTTTATTTCATCATTCAAACATTGAATGGAAATATCATATAAAAATAAACCCACAAGAGATCTTGTAAAACCTCTCTCCTTGCTGAGAGAGCTTTTTCAATGAATTTTGCACCTACTTCATGCCAATTAATGTCAGATGCGCTAGCCGTGTTTTGTTTATGAGAACGTAGCGTTGGACGGTGCCAAAGGACGTACTGAATACACGTCCCATCTGTTGCTGCTCCTTTATCTACCCTGCTAGGCACCTTATCAAAGAAGAAAATTGGATTAGTCTGATGTATTGTAAAGAGATCACGTTAACTCCTTATTACCTTCCAAATACTTAAAAAAGGATTATTTTGGGGTACACTCAAGACTCTTTTCTGGGACTCTGTGCTGGGCTGTTGTCTCCCTGGCTTTGCAGTTCCTCTGGTGGGACCAGGAGCCTGCTCTGTCCTCCACTAGCTCTCAGAGATGACCAGAAATAGGATATCTGCTCCTTTGAATAAAAATATCACACATTCTGAGCATTTTAGCTTTATTTGAACTGAGACCAGAATTAGCCCTCTCAACCAGTGCTTCGTGAAGGCAGTCTCTTTTTTTTTGCTTCTTTTTCCTCTTTTTCTCTGCTTAACATCCTGCCTCTAAAAGGGCGATCACAAGACACAGGCCGGCAAAGGGGAGCGGACCCGCCGACCGCATGCACTCAGCAGCGAGCGCGGGCGGTAAGAACCCCAGCACCCTTCTCCCTGCCGCAGCGTTATCAACCACGCGGCACACAGCGCTGGTAAAACCGGTGCAAAAATCCTAGAGTCCCTCTAAATCTAGTCCTGAAAGGCTGCTTAGGTGGGGGAAGAAAAAAAAGCAGGGAGGGGGGAGAGGAAAAAAGGATTTTGCTTAAAATAAGC